CCCCCTCTCCCCTCCCTCACCATGCCCCTCCGCTCGCCCCTCTGCAGGACCAGCGCGAGCGCGAACGCGCGCTCGGTGACTTCAAGAGCGGGCGCATCTCTGTCATCATCGGCACCGACGTGCTCGGCCGCGGCATCGACGTGCCCGCGGTGACGCACGTCATCAACTACGACGCCCCCGGAGACATCGAGGACTACACGCACCGGATCGGCCGAACGGGTCGCGCGGGACACCAGGCACCTCGCCTCTCTCTCTCCAGCCGCCCCGTCCCTCGCCCCTCTCTCTCCCCAGCCGCCCCGCACCTCGCCTCTCTCTCTCCAGCCGCCCCGCACCTCGCCTCTCTCTCTCCAGCCGCCCCGCACCTCGCCTCTCTCTCCTCAGCCGCCCCGCACCTCGCCTCTCTCTCTCCAGCCGCCCCGCACCTCGCCTCTCTCTCTCCAGCCGCCCCGCACCTCGCCTCTCTCTCTCCAGCCGCCCCGCACCTCGCCTCTCTCTCTCCAGCCGCCCCGCACCTCGCCTCTCTCTCTCCAGCCGCCCCGCACCTCGCCTCTCTCTCTCCAGCCGCCCCGTCCCTCGCCGTCGCCGCCGCCCCGCACCTCGCCTCTCTCTCTCCAGCCGCCCCGCACCTCGCCTCTCTCTCTCCAGCCGCCCCGCACCTCGCCTCTCTCTCTCCAGCCGCCCCGTCCCTCGCCGTCGCCGCCGCCCGTTGCTGCCGCCCTCGTCGTCCTCGCCACGCCACCGCCCTCGCCGCCGGCCCCCACCACACCGCCGCCGCCGCGGCCGCCGTCATGCGGCTTCCCGCCTCCCCACCCTCCCCACCGCCGGCACTGCACCTCCCAGGGCATGGCGACCACGATGCTCAACGACCGCGACGGGAACATCGCCCGCGACCTTTTCGACATGCTCACGCAGTCGAACCAGGAGGCGCCCGACTGGCTTCGCCAGATCCGCGGAGGAGGCGGCGGCGGGAGGCCTGCCTTCCTGATCGGTCTCGGTAGAAGAAAGCAAAGAGATATCGCCGTTGTCGATACAGCGGTCAGCGCTCCAGCCCTCCAAGCCTCATGCCCGCCGCTCCACCGTGTCGCTGCACAAGCAGCACTTCCCCACATTGCAGTGCTTGACGCAATACGAAGATGTCTGCGACCATCGACTCCACCGTGCGTCGCTGCACAAGCAGCACTCCCCGCCTTACCAGCAGTGCAATCGCATCGCGCCCGCTCGGCCGATGCGCGCTCGTGTCCTCTTCTGATGCGCTGCTACGGTATAGATTTGGAGATGCCATTGACAGCCACGACGAGATCGTCCGCTTCAACCTGGCGCCCGTGCCAGGTCAGCCTCTCCCACTCCTGCCACTAGACCACCCACAGCATAGCACGTGAGAGGCAATCACCTTGGCTTTTGCTCATTCACCGCTCACGTTCGTCATCAGCAGCCAGACATCCTCTGACTGGCGATGCCCGCCCCTCGACCCCAGAGGCGCTGCACCACCATGTTGGCCGCCGCACCACCACGGTGGTAGTTGGCTATCATGTCTTGCTTCTCCTTCAAGAGAGCGTCGCGCGTTGGCTGCGCCAGCTGCAGCCGCTGCAGCCGCTGCAGCCGCCGCAGCATCACCAGCTCCAACCATTACACGCAGACGACAACGGTGGTCGCAGCGGCTCGCCTCAAGTCGCGGTGCTTGTCTCCGACAACTGGTGTGTGACGGACGATTACAAGTGCCGAGTGCCCGGCAAGTCGCGCTAGATGACAGCTATTCACTGTCACCCACATCTTCCTTCGGCCACTGGCAGTGCTACCACTGTATCGGCCGTTCTCAAAGGCGCCAAATGCAGCGCACATGATCTCGCGATAGGCAAGTCGCGGCGCTGGGCCCAGCGCGGCGGACGAGCAGGCGGGCCGCCGCTATCATGCCCCAAGCAGGCCGCCTCTGTCGGGAGATGCCGATGCATCGCGCACGCGTTGCCTGGTTGGATCGATTGTGCGCCCGCCCCGTCGAAGGAGGAGGTGCAGGAGACGTGGCGACTCTACCTGGAGCAGGCAGATGCTTAGAAAATAGGTAATAGGTAAGAAAATGGCACACGACCGCACACGACCGGCTAGCCGTTCGTGCCACCAGAGGTAATGCAGCGCCAATCCTCGGCAGGCAAACGAGTCGTGCGCAAAGAGCGGCCCGTCGACTGGTCTCGCCGCCGCGATCCACTTTCTCCGCCGCTGCAAGAGAGTTACGCTGTTTGGCTTTGGTCTTCCGTCGCGTGGAGGTGGCGACGGGGATCTCCAGCAGACGATCGGGTCCGCGGCCCGGCGGTCGATCTGCGCCTTCTCAGCGGTGGAGGGGATGTGGGCGGTACGTGCGGACCGCGTGGTGCTGCGATGGCTTGACGAGTGCGACTCCCAGCGTCGACTTTTTGACCCCACGGAGCCTCTGCTGCTCCGGGGGGGGCGGGGGGGGGGGTCTGCAGACCACCCGGCCGAACTTCAGAGTGGCGGTGGTCCTCAAATACCGCTCAAACGCCCACGATGTTGTGGAGGGGACATATGCTGATGATCCCGGCCCGATTGGGTCGCTCAGAAAGCTTCTGGGCGGTCGCTAAGGTTCGCTCCCCGCACACGGGCCCCGGAATAAGATACATCATAGAGCTGCGCGTCTACCCCGGCGCCGCACACGGGATGGGTCACTTCGGGCCGCACCAGCACACCGAGCAGGGGGAGGGGGCGCTGCGAGCCCTCGAGGCGTGGTACGCAGCGCACCTGCCCTAGGCAGTAGGCTCTGCCTCGATGCGGATGTACGTGATCGACCTCTGTGATCCTGTTGTTGTACCAGGTTTACGTTCGAATGATTTATTTTTGTAGAGCCGCCGCCGCCTTGTGTGGTGGCCAGTGGTGGTGGTGGTGGTGGGTGGGTGGGGGGGGGGGGGGCACACATGGAAGTGGCCGCCCTCAAGTCTCTTCAAAATATTTTAGATTTAGTTTGTTTAAAAGGGGCAGGTTAGGTGCTGTTGCTGTGGGGAATTCAGCCCCTGGAAGGACACCCGCGCCCTTTCGCAGGCGGTCGAAAGGCCCTTGCCAGGACCGTCTCGCATCGCACATCCATCGTGAGTGCCAGCCCCGCGCCCGCCACTGACCGCCGACACGCGCGTTCCCAACGCGTGACTCACCGCGAGTGTGTCCGTCAGGACAATGATCTTCTCAAAGCTGATGCTGCTCGCCGTCGGCGCTGGCGTCGTCAACGCTCTGCCGATCCTCACCGTGCCCGACGCGCAGGAGGACGGCCTGGTTGATCTCGACTCGCCGGCCTCCCAAGTCTCCATTCGCTTCCTAAACGGGGACAACTCAAAGGCGGTGCTTGTGAAGTACACTGACAACGGAGTCTTGAAGCAGCTTCACATCAACGCAAACAGTGATACGGCCAGCTACGCTGTGGATCCAACAAAGGAAATCACGATTCTGTCGGAGGATCCCCACTACTACCGCGTGTGCACAGTGGCACCTGACACGCTCAAGGAGGACGATGCCGTGTCTACTGCGAGCCCGTGGGGCAACTCGTGCAAGGTCTCTCGCCCTGCTCCGTCTCCGTCTCCGGCTCCGGCTGCAGAGGACCTGCAGTTTCAACGCTGCTTCAACAGCCAGGAATGTCCTTGTGTCAAGCATCTTGATGGTCTCTGCCTTCTTTACGCCTTGTGTAACACGGCGCTCAACTATTGTGAGATTGGATCTGCCGTTCATAACTGCAACCAAGATTCCGATTGCCCAGGATCTCCTGTTACTTGTTACCAGGGGTTCTGCTACTACGGTGCGCAAAAAGCCAATGGTGCTTCTTGCTACTGGAATTACGAATGTGAAAGCACGTATTGCAATGACGGGCATGGCGGTGGCAAAGGGAAGTGTCAAGCTTTGGGAAATACTGGCGATGATTGCGCTTGGCACCAAGCTTGCAAGTCCTTCTCATGTCATGGTGGGAAATGCACCTAGTTTGCAGGTTGCTCACCCACGGCACCGGGCCGGTGCTTGCACTTTGAATGCCGTGGGGCTCCTGCCCGTGTCCCGGGCGTGGAGATGCGAGGGTCGCCCCCCCCCCCCCCCGCCCCCCACTTTGTGTGTGTGGAGACGTTTACCTTACTTGGCGGGGCGTGGGGGCCCTAGAGGGTACCCATGCAGGGGGGGGGGGGTTCCCATGGCCCGCAGGCCGGGGCCGATTTTGCGGGATTTTTTCTTTTGCGTTTTCGTTGGGTCCACCTGGGACCGAACCGGAGGTGGCTGTGAGCTCACGTCCGTGTTGTCGTAGTACGCTTTACGAGACTGATACTGTACGAGAGCTAAACTGGGTGCGGACCCAGTCTAGCAAGACACTCCTACGGAGTAGTAGACGGCGCAGGCATTTTAATCACCCATCTGCTCCTGCAAGGCATCAATCACGTCGCCATCTTCCATCCCGCACTCCTCGGGCGTCTCGCTTCCCAGGGATGGGACACGCTCGCCGTTGAACACGAGTCGGAGGCCTTGGGGGTTGACGCCTTGGCGCTGACCGATCGCATTCTTGATCTTTGACAGGTGCGTGTTCTTCTTGATCTTGAAGAAGACCTCCTCGCCACTCGCGTGTACAACCTTGACGTTGATGCTGAGGGAGTCGCCCGCCTTGAGAGACTCGACGAGAGCGGCGGCGAAAGCCGCGGCGTCCGCGACCTTGCCGTCGCGCACAGCCGCCGCGGTGATGCGCTCCACGTCCGACTCGAGAAGGCGCTTCAGGCGCTGTGCATTCCACTCACCGCCGGCCATGCTGCTCTCCAGCGGCAAGCCGAGCGCCGCCCTTCCTTCCGGTGATGGCGGCGCTTCCGTCCGGGCGAGACGTTCGTTAGTGCAGTGCGCGCCAGAGCGCAGAGGCCAGTAAAGATAGAATTCTTAGATAGAAAAAAAATTGTACAAGCAAACTCCCTTCGCACGACACTTAGGCACGGGACTGGCGCGCACTGGCACTAACACAGGTACACCACGGGAGCCGCCCAAGCGACTCCCGCGAGGACGGCGAGGCACTTAGCTCCGTGCACTCCCAGAAAGTCGAACAGACAACCCAAGGAGGCACTCCTGCGCCCGCTCCCTCCCGCTTGGCGCCCATCCCGCCCTCCGCCCTCGCCCTCCGCCCTTGCCCTGGCTGGCCTGGGTGGCATCTCCGCATCATCACGCGCCAAGTGGGAGGGAGGTGGACGGGGCCCTGAGCCGACCTAGCCCCAGACGGAATGGGGCGCCCAACACGATTACTGTGCCTTCCCCGCGCATCTCAATCACCAGTGCCGTTACAGTGCCGTTACGGTTACGTATACCGACGGGGGACGACAGCTCAGTATCAGACTCCCTATGCTGACGATACCGGCCTCCCCTTCCTTCTGCTCACGCGCTGACTTGGAGCAACAAACGCCGCTCCTCATGACGCACTTTGCGGATTGGGGCATGGAGATACATGCCGGCGTGCTCGATCCCATGGAAGGTCCACTCTGGACTACTCGACTTCACCGCTCTGCCGCCGATCAAGAAGTCGAAATCTGAGGTGCTGTTTTGTTCAAAGCCGCACCACCTCTACAGATCCGACCTCGTTCGACGGCACCGACCTTTCCCCGATCATGCTGCCAAACAACGGCTTCATGGAGGTGGTAGATCGCTTCCCGTACCTCGGCGACATCGTCTCGCGCGACGGCGACGACGCAGCAGCGGTCGACGCCCGCGTCGAGTCGGGTGGCAAGGCATTTGGCCGCGTAAAATTCTTTCCGGCCGCTGCTCCGGTGTGCACACATGGACTACTACGCTGGCGGCCCCCACTGGCGGCAGCAGGATCGCCGCCCCGCCTACCGCCGCGCGAGTGCCCGCGGCGGCCACTACAGCGAGGCGCGGGGTGGACAGGTGGGCTGGTACGGGCATGGGACCGGCCACGGAGGCTGGTATTATGGCAACGCTCCTGGAGGTGGATGGGGCAACCTCAGTGCTGGTGACGGCTCGGGCTCCTTCTACACCGGTGGAGGCGGCTACGGCGGCGCCACCGACCAGGCTACGGGCTGGGGCGGCGGCGGAGGGGGGCAGCATTGCCGCAGGGCGGCCAATGAGCAGGAGTATTGGACGTGTGCAGGCTGCTCGACCAAGAACTGGACGTCGCGGGAGAGCTGCCGCAAGTGCTCGCGGCCGAGACAACGCTGCGCCGCGCCGCCGCACTCTCCCACCCGCCCTCCGCCGCAGCCACCGCGCGAGCCACCGCAGCCATCGCATGAGCCGCCCCTCGCGACCGCCAGCTCTGGCGCGGGCTGGTTCGACGACGGCCCTTCGTGGCCCTCCTCGGCCTCCTCCGAGTCCCGGAAGCGGCCGCAGGCCACGACCGGCGGGCCCGGCGCCAGCGCCACCGCTGCGTCAGCTCCGGTGTCGGACCTGCGCAGCAAGCTGGCAAAGACCAGGCACATCCTGAGCGATGCGACACGATGTCTACTCGAGGGCAGCAGGCCGGGCAGCGCGGCGGCGGGCGCGTCCGCCCAGGGAAGCTCCTCCGTATTTTCTCGCTTGGGGGTCAGAGAGCGTGCGGCCCGATCCGCGAGCGGTCCAGTGCGCAGTCCCGAGAAGATTGGGGGTCAGAGCGAGGCGGCGCCTGTGGCAGTCGAGGCGACGGGGCATGCGAGCGACGTTGACCGGGCGCCCGCTGCATACACACACACACACGCCGCGCGCGCCGCACACCCACGCACACTGGGCCTGACACATTTATTACCGTGGGGCTCCTGTCTTTGGACGTGGAGTCGTGAGGGATCGCCCGGCCTCTGCTCCACGCCTCGTGTGTGTGGAGAAGTTTCCCCCTAATCTTGCCTTACCTTGACCAGGCGCAAGGCGACGCGGTGGCAGCGTGTGCGCAGGCGCGGGCGACAACGCCAGAAGAGGCGGCGGAGGCGGCGGAGGCGGCGGAGGCGGCGGAGGCGGCGGAGGCGGCAGACTCGCAGGCGGAGGAGGCGCAGGCGGAGGAGGGGGCGGAGGCGGAGGCGGCGGCGGATTCGGTGGCGGCGGCGGCGGCGCTGGTGGCTGCAGAGCCAGACGGGATGGAAGAAGCCGCCCTGCGAGCGCTGCTGCGGCGCGTCCAGCCGCTCCTGAGGGAGGCTGTGGCGGCACGGCGGCCGCAGGCATCCGAGGGGGGCGGGCGGAAGACGCTGGGCCTCGCCAGAGGCGGCAGGACGAAGGCATCGCCACAGAGGGCGCCAGCCGCGGAGGCGGCGCTGCAGCAGTCGCCGGCAGCGGTGGAGCGCAGTCGGGCCGCGAAGCGGTGGCAGTCTGGCGACGAGGCGGGAGGGAAGGGGCGAGGCGACGAGACGGGCGGCGAAGAGTCGGACGACGCGATGGGCTAGGGGGTTAGCTGAGCGTTTTTGCTCAAACATCGAGTGAGGTGGTGATCGCGGGTGGTCGTTCTCGTTGCTCGTTCTCTCGAGTAGAGGAAAGACATCAACATAGAGATATTAAGAGCTGATGTGGTTACACCTTGTCCGTACCGAATACCGTGCGTACTGAGGCAAGAACTGTCTGTACTCCCTGACGCCCCCCAAGCCCCATCGCAAGCAGGTCATGCAGTTACCCTGCGTACACCCCCTAGAGAGAGTAGAAGTAATAGACGGCTGCTGTGGAGGCTCAACGCTCACCAAGCGGCAGTGCCCTGCCTTCCACGCCCTCGCCCAACGCCGAGTCGCGCCGAGGCGAGCCAGAGAGGGTGGCGTAGCGGACGATTCCAAAGGCGACGGCGGTGAGGGAAAAGATGGTGCCCAAAGTATAGCGAATCATTTCGTTTTTGGAGGCCTGGGGAGGGTCAAGAGCCTCTCGTTGAGGACGCTCCGAGACTGTCTCCGCCAAATATCACGGGCGACCTCACCTCGATCTTTGTGTACAGCCGGCCGATATCGAGCTCCAGCTTCGCCTCTTTGGCGGAGAAGGTATTTTGCGCCTGTTTTCAGGAATGCGCGACTGCTCTGAGATCGATGGCAGCAGGAGGATCCACAACGTCCAGAGAAGGTGAGGTCTTACCTTGCGGAGGTCCTCGCGAATCTTGCCGTCCACGAGTGAGAGCTCCACCTACGGGGCGCTGAGCGGTGCAACATTAGATCTCGCGTACGGGCCGTTTGCCTGCCTCCCCTACCGACGCTTGACCCCCCCCCGCCCCGGGCCGATTGCTCCGCCTTGTATTGCGACGTGAGCCGCTCGATCTCGTGCTTGCTCTCGCCTGTTCACATCAAAGGTGTGACGAACTTCGTCCTTCCAGACAGCCACCCGATCGCGCTTGTTCGCCGCGTAGACGGTCGCCGAGCGCGAAGCCCTTCTCCGTCACCTCCTTAACCTGCGCAGTCGTCTTGGCATCAGCGTTCTCTTGCCGCGCCCGGAATCTCTTGATGTCATCCCTCATCCGCCTACGCCGCCTCTGATCCGTCAGGCCCATCGTACAAGCCGCGTGGCGTGTCACACAAAGGGTTTGCTCCTGAGCTCAAGCTCGATGAAGTTCTTGAAGCGCTCACGCGCCGCCTCCTCCTCAATCCGCCGCGCCTCGCCCGACGCGCTGAGCGCGTCCAGAACGAACTGTGTCACGCACTCGCTCTGCTCGGCAGGCATGCCGGCCGCCTGAGAGGTCGGCGAGGAGGCTCGAGAGGCGCGTGTGCGGGCTCGGTTGCGCTGACGTTTACTCCTGGAGCTGCCGAGCCAGCGCAAGCGAGTCAAATGGAAAATTGGAGCGGCGCAGCGGGTCGATGGTTGAAGCAGAGGTGGCGGCGGCGGCAGTTGTTTGCGCGGAGGAGGTGCTGCAGAATCGGAGCATGGGCATGGGCCCACGGGGGCCTCGAACGCGACACACATTCGCGAACATATTTGTCGCGCTGCGGAACGTAAACCACTGAAGTCATGTCCTCATGACCTCGGAGCCTGTGCTCTTGTGAGCACTTGAGCACTGGATAGGGTCGATTCCGCATGGTACGGGACCCCTCGATCGTCTCGCCCTCCCTCACTGGCGTGTTCATTGGGGGGGGGGGGGGGTCATAACAAACACGGTACAGGATCGAGGTGCACGCTGCTGAAGCAGTGTCGTCCCCCCTCTCCATCGTCTGGTAAGGGAGCCTGTGCTCTTGACGAAAAACTCTGGTAGTCCGTCCACGGAGATCGCTCAAGGGCGATGCACGCACAGCACGACCTCACACAACGCGCTGCACCGCGCGCACCGCGACCTCTCGGCGGTACCCTCCCAGCAGGACCGACAGAGCGCCGCGTGCTGGCACGGCAACGCCATCATTTGCGACTCTCTTTCACCGCACTCGGCGCACCGCTTGGGAGCGCGCGCCGCCTCCGCCGCGGCCGAGACAGCTGCTTCAGCCTCCACCCGCGCTTTAGCCGCCTGCTCGCGCCGCGCGCGCCTCTCATCAGCGCGTCGGCGCCCCTCGAGCTCTGCGTCGCGCCCGAGGTCGCGCTTTTCCGACGCGGTCCGCCGTCGGTGGGCGCGTGAGCCCTCCCCAGACTGGAAGTGGCCAATGGAGCGGCAATCCCAATAGTAGTTGTTGTAGTTGGTGCAGTCGCCACGGAAGCCGCCGCTTGGCCCCCCAAGCTGGCTAGAGGACCCGTCCAGCTTCGAGCGGAGGGTGCGCGCGTATTTGCGGCTGACGGGCGAGAGCTGCACGTCGGCGGCGTCGAAGCCCATCCACGTCCGCCACCGCCGCTCGCAGCCGAGCGGACCTGGCGCTTTGGCTAGAACGTCCGCCATCGTCGCTGTCGCGGAACGTAGCAACGTTCGGACGGAGCGTCGGAACTCGTGCCAGCAGCGCATCCGCCTCTCGTGCTCTTCCCACTCCCGCCGCGCCGCCGCCTCGGCTGCCTTGACGGCGAAGCGGCCGCCGGCGCGGTCAGACCGTCCCCAGGGCCTCTCGGGGCCACCCCTTCCCTCCCACCCTACGCCGCCGCCACCGCCGCTCGCGTGCGCCTCGCGCGTCAGCCGGCGGAGCTCACGGCGGCGCGTGAGCTTGGGGGACGGGCGGCTGGATCGGGGCTCCGGCTCCGGCTCGAGCGAGGGCACGCTCAGGCGGCCGTCGAGCAGGCAAACGTCCACAGCGTGGCTCGATCCGACGAGGAGATGGACTCCCTCCCCTGGTGTGCGGCAGAGCGCGCAAGTGCTCGAGTGCCGCGCCCAGCCGGCGTGGCAGCGCGCGCACATCGCGAGATGGCCGCACGGCTCCATGATGACGGTCGCGACCGACTCGGAGCAGATCACGCACACGCCGAGCCGCTCCTCGAGCGCCTCTTGGCAGCCGCGGTCGAGGCAGCGCGAAGAGGAGGAGGAGTTGCCAAAGGGCGGAGCCGGGAAGTGGACCAGCCATGGGCGCCGCTCCTCCCTCTGCAGCATCCGAGCGATGGCCTCGTCGCTCCGCGTCTCGCCGCCGTTGCCCTCGCTGGGCCACGCGAGGCTCTCGGGTGTGTGCGATGCGGTGATCTCGTCGCCAACGATGGTCCATGCCGTCTCGGTGGCACTCACGACCGACCACTCTGAGCGGATATCGTCGGCGCTGAGCAGCTCGTCGCACTCGCTCGGGAGGCTCGAAAGGCTAAGGTGGAGGAGAGACCCGTCGGCAGGAGGAGCGGTCTTAAGAGCGGCGTTCCGCTGACTGCGAGCCTTGCGCCGTGCAGAACCATTGGAATTTCGGCGCTCTTCACCTTTCCAATCCTCCTCCCAAGCTTCTGAGCACTCCTCGCCGTCGCTCACACCTGAAAGAGCCCAACGCCGCAGCTTGCGGTGGGTCGTGCCTGAAGGCTGCAGCACGCGGGTTTCGTAACTGCCATGTGTGTATGAGAGCTCCTTGGAACGACACGCCTGGCGGACTCCTCGCCGGCTGTTGTGGGAGCGGCCCATGGGCCCTGGTTGTCTGCGTTCCTGTCCTGGCCCTGTCCGACGGTTTCGTGGACGGCGTGTAAGTAGGACTCGTACGGAAATAAATAAAAACGGACATCTCTCTACTGTGAGATGGGTAAAAAGGAACAGGCCCCCGCCCTTGCGATCTTTCTGCAGGGTTCTTTGTGGGTGTGGTCGGCGACTAGCCGGGGTCGTCCTCCCGATGGGGGACTAGCACTAGCCGTCTTCCACATGGTCCCTCGGGTCCCTGCTGCTCCTAATCTCTTCGTACATCCTCCTGCTGATCTCCGCAAAGTCCTGCTCCCTCCCTCGTCTCGCCCCGCGCGTCTGCTCCGCCTCACCGTCTTCTGCCCTGCGTCGTCTGGCGACGGGTCCTCCATATTCGGTCGAGGTCGCCGCCCTCCTCGTGCCTCTTCCCAACGTTCCCTCGGCGGCCGATGCCGTCTGCTCCGGCTCCCCAGTCCCCGGCTCTGCCCTGCTCTCGTCTGCGCTAGTTTCTGCTTCGTCCTCACCGGCGTCTCTCCTCTTCCTTCTCCCCTTCTTGTATGCTTTGCACATCGCGTCGATTCCTTTTCGCGTGAGCACCAGCCTGAAGCCCGCCCAGCAGCTGAACCGCTCCCTAAGTCGAAGGAGCATCATCAGTCTCACCCACTTCGCTCGCTGCCCACTGTCTCCGCTCCCTCCCGCTTGAGCTGCCGTCGCGGCCCTCGTTCGTCCCACTGGCTGTTGGCCCGTCCCTGCGTTGCCTGCGTTATCCCTCCTCCTCCGCGACTCCCTCAAGGCCGGCCGAGCCTCTTTCCACCCAGTGAAGAGCTTCCTCAGCCACTCAATGTGTTCCTCTCTCTTCATTATGCGCGCCGTAGCCTCATCATTGAGCTGGATCCACCTCTGCACCGCTCCCGTCGCCGCCTCGGCCACGATTTGCAGGTTCCTCTTGACCCCGGCGCCAAGGTCCCTCCGGCTCTTCTCCGAGAGGTCATCTACCAGCGCCGGCAACACCCCCCCGACGGCTGGGGCTAGTGCATCGTACCCGTCCTCATCCAGCACCCTATAGCGTGAGCCCTTCAGCGCAGCGACATGCGCTATCCTCAGCGTCTTCAGCGTATCCTTGGAGTCGAGTGCCGCCTGGGCTACTTTGCTGATCGCCGTCCCCATCTGCGCTCGCGCTACTCTGAGGAACCATCTGGCCTGCTCCCTATTCCCCATGGACTCGTACGGAAAAGTCCGCCGACTAAATGATTTTCCACGACCGCACGGAAACGCAGGGCCCCCCCCCCCCCCCCCCGACCGAGCTGCGAAACAGCGGCGTCCACACCGGCCGCCGCTCGAGAACCAAAACTTTCTTCGGCGCTGCGCGCCGCGTTCAACCCGATGACCAGTCCGGCTCTACAGCACGTGTGTAGCCGAGAGCAGTTGTGAAAGTGTGCGGTGTGTGTGTGCGCGACTGTGAGGGACGTGCAAACGTTGCATTTACGTAGACGGCGGGTACGGATTCATTTTGATATCGTAGAGCCGAACTCCGCGGGGGCGAGGGTGGAAGCGCACACTGAACACACTCTCGAGAGAGCGGAGTGGTGTGGCAGCCTCGCTATAGCGGGGGCGTTGCAGGGAGCCAGCGTTGAGCGTCCTTCTTTTGCTTGCTGAAGCGTCGTACGCGAGTGAGTTCGCCGCGCCGTATCTGCCTCTCTGGCACTGGGCCATGAATCACTCACTCCCGCGACCACACCTCGATCTTCTTGGGCAGCAGCTGGTTCGACAGGTCCTCTCCGTGGCCTAGGCAGCGGTGGCCGCCCTGGCCCCAGGCAAAGACAGCGCCGTTGGCAGTGATGGCGAGGCCGTGGCTGCGTCCAGCCGACACAACGACGACTTGATGGCCAGCAAAGGCTTCGATCTTCCTGGGCAGCAGCTGCCACAGCTGGTCGCCGTGGCCCAGCTTGCCAAAGGCTCCACCGCCCCAGCTCCAAGCGGCGCCATCGGCGGTAAGGGCGAGGCTGTGGCGGGCTCCTGCCGACACAGCGACGACGCGCCGCCCAGCAAAGGCCTCGATCTTCTTCGGCAGCAGCTGCGTCTCCTCGTCGCCGTGGCCCAACCGGCCAGAGTATCCCCAGCCCCAGCTCCAGACGGCGCCGTCGGCGGTGATGGCGAAGCTGTGGTCGCGTCCAGCCGAGACAGCGACGACGCGCTGACTCGCCAAGGCCTCAACCTTCTTTGTCAGCAGCTGGTCCTGCGTGTCGCCGTGGCCCAGCCGGCCGTAGTCTCCCCAGCCCCAGCTCCAGACGGCACCGTCGGCGGTGACGGCGAGGCTGTGGTATGCTCCAGCCGACACGGCGACGACGCGCCGCCCAGCGAAGGCCTCGACCTTCTTGGGCAGCAGCTGGTTCTGCTCGTCGCCGTGGCCCAGCTTGCCCCAGTCTCCATCGCCCCAGCTCCAGACGGCACCGTCGGCGGTGATTGCGAGGCTGTGGCCATCTCCAGCCGACACAGCAACGACGCGCCGCCCAGCGAAGGCCTCGACCTTCTTGGGCAGCAGCTGGTCCTGCGCGTCGCCGTGGCCCAGCTGGCCCCAATTTCCAGCACCCCAGCTCCAGACAGCGCCGTCGGCGGCGAGGGCGAGGCTGTGGCCATCTCCGGCCGACACGCTCACGGCGCGCTCGTCACCCAGCGTTGACGGGAGGCGGGTCGGCGTGTTGAGCTGCGTCCTTCCCTCGCCGTGGCCGAGAAGGCC